CCTTAATTTTTTTAGAATTTTTAATTAGATTCTCAAACTAAAAAATAAATTATAATTTAGTCTCATAAGTTAAAGGATTGTTAGAAAAAGTTATGTTATACATATATATATATATATATATATATATATGAGGAGGGTTCAAACGATACTGATGTAACTTTTATTAAGTATTATATCTTTCAATAACTTTATATTAAATATGAATTTTGTAAATTCAATCATTAGATTGAAAATTCTTTACTCTTAGATCATATATACAAAATTTTATATTAATTTAAGATGATTTGATACTTCATTTTTATAAAACAAAATTGACATAATATATACATTTCAAAACATAATAAAATATGTTTATATCAAATTTTGTTTATATTAATCTAACTGTCGAATTATAACTTCATATCACTTTATATGTTTATATCAAATTTTATTAAAATTAAATAACAACTTGAAAATAATCAAAGTGTTGTTATCCAGTTTGGATTTGGAAAGATTTGATGCTGGAGAACTAGGAGAGTTAATAATGGCTTGTGGAATAGAGGAGATGTATAAGGATATGGATGAAAGAATGGTTATGGTAGCTTTGTTCTGTGTTCAATAAAGGCCAGAATCAAGACCAATTATGAGTGATGCGGTGAAAATGTTGGAAGGCTCGGTTGAAATTTCTAAACCTTTGAACCCATTTCAGCATATCATGGATGCAATTTTCCCACGTCATTCTGTGCAAGCATCCCAAACTGATACTAGCACAAGTATTAATTCTACTAGCTCTTCTGCTTTAGCAACCAAACCAGTCATTGTATATGATACTCCTATGATGACATAGAATTGACCTCTACCACCTGTGATTAATATGACAGACTATTTGATGAAGGTTTTCCATTGATTAGAAGTTATAAAATATTTCTTTTCTACTATTGTAAATCTTTATTTCTCCTTTTTTTTTGGTGATAATGTCTTATAAACATCTGGTTTCTTTACTTAATAACGCTGGGAAGAACTCCCCAATTGATAGACTAGAACAACCATACTCTGCAAAGGGTGTATATTCCCAATACTCAGGCTAAATTTTCTCATGAATGACAAGATGATCTCTTTCTTCTCCTCTCCCCTCTTCTTTGTAAGCAACCTACCATAAACTTAACTAAATTGTGGGTATCTACCAATCTCCTTTTATTCCCCTCCCCCCTTCACTTTCTAAAACATTATTTAATATTTGAATTAAAAGAAGTATATGAAAGTATATATCTAGAGTAGAACCCCGAACAACATCATCTATAACAGGTCTAGATTTGGACAGATGCTCTGCCAATTCAAATTTTGTTGTCCAAATAAGGGCCTGTCTGTCTGATATAATGTTATGACGTGAATCAGTTTAAGCACATAAAGAATGGGATTTAACCAGGTCATCTAGTTCAACCATCATAATAATAGAAGTGTTAATTCTGCCTCTTATGTGATTGTAAAGGAACTATGCTACTAATACTGTCATGAGGAAGTAAGAGATTGAATTAGCCACTAGCAAAGGGGTATAATATAAGGAAGACTACATACTACTTGATAGAAGGTTTCTTAGCTTAAATTATGTTGTCAAATGTTTTCCTTTGTAATTTGATTCTGATGAATATCTATTCTATATTGTTAAATAAATGAAGTCAACACATATCTTTAAATAAATAAATCTATTGTATATAATTTCAAACTTGGAGACAATGTTGTTAAATAAAAAGCACAAAAAGAAGAAACACTTTCTATTAGTCGTTGTCAGCTCTTTGTATTCTCAGTCATGGAGTTCCTTGTCAGCCACTCACTTGAATAAATAACACGGAAAATGTTGTTTACTCATGACATGTCATTAGTACATACAAAAAAGTGTTCATGAACTTCCTTTGCCTTTGGCCTTTCATATTTAACCAGATATTGACCCATGTGTTAACCGGTAAGAAATGTGTAAAAATATGATATTGTCATGTAAGCGTATTACTTCACAGCTTAGGATTTATATATTATAAATAGATTAGCATTATCCTTGGTGGATTGTACCACGAAAGAACAGAAAACTAAAACTTAGTATTTGTCGTAGAGATTTCGTTCTTATAATTGTGTCTTCCCTCTTGTAAGTTTGCTAACCGGCTTATGCCATTAAGAATATCCATTCTCAAAATAAAACCTTAGACCGAGGGGGCAACTGTAAAATATAGAATTAATGATCACAATCACGTGATGTTTACTATAGATCTTGTAGATATATCCTTCTTCTTCCATTCGATTTTGCAGACAAGTCTCACATCACATCCACTACCTATTTTTGAGTTCTTATCAACGAACCAATGAAAAATGCATTAGGGCTTACCATATCCTCTATAGTTAGTAGGTTTTAACTTTTAAGCCCGTTATATTTTCATTTTTTTTTCTTTTCTAATTCTACATTGGTTTTTTTTTATGTCACAAATTTTGACAGTGTAATAAAATGTTGCTATTGTGATCCTGTCCTTGTTGATTTTTTTGGTTTGGCGTTGTAGAAGATCCGAGACCAACACTGAAAGCAGCTCAGACATATTTCTAACTCACATAATGGATAAATTTCCGAGTAATGTGGGAAGTGAAAAGCCAATCAGGTATACTGCTAAGCAGCTCAGGATTGCAACTGATAACTACTCTACCTTGTTGGGTTCCGGAGGTTTTGGACAAGTTTATAAAGGAAATTTTAAGTGATGGAACCATTGTGGCTGTGAAGGTTCTACGCGCGAACTCAGATAAGAGAATACAGGAACAATTTATGGCAGAAGTGAGTACAATTGGAAAAATCCATCATTTCAATCTAGTTCAGTTCTATGGATTTTGCTTTGAGAAAGATCTGAGAGCACTAGTTTATGAATACATGGGGAATGGCTCTCTTGACAAGTATCTGTTTCATGAAAACAAGACCCTAAAATATGAAAAGCTTCATGACATTGCAGTTGGAACAGCAAGAGGCATTGCATACTTGCATGAAGATTGCCAACAAAGAATAATCCACTATGACATCAAACCAGAAAATATTCTCTTGGACAGCAACTTCAATCCTAAAGTTGCTGATTTTGGAATGGCTAAGCTTTGCAATAGGGAAATATCTCATATAACTATGACTGGAGGTAGGGGCACTCCTGGTTATGCTGCCCCTGAGCTTTGGATGCCACTTCCTGTAACTCACAAGTGTGATGTTTACAGCTTTGGAATGTTATTATTTGAAATCACGGGAATGAGAAGAAACTTGGACATTAACCTTCTAGAAAGCCAGAAGTGGTTTCCAATATGGGTTTGGAAAAAATATGATGCAGGAGAATTAGAAGAAGTAATAACGGTTTGTGGAATAGAGGATATTTATAAGGAAATGGCTGAAAGAATGGTTAAGGTTGCATTGTCGTGTGTTCAGTATAGGCCAGAATCAAGACCAATAATGAGTGATGTGGTGAAAATGTTGGAAGGTTCAGTGGAAATCTCTAAACCTTTGAACTCATTTCAGAAAATCATGGATGGGACTTTCTCTGATCATTTAGTCCAAGAGTCACGCACCAATGCTAGTAAAAGTATTAATTCTAGCTC